CTTAAAACACGTACTGACATTTCCCTGCATCTGGGACGGGTCTGAGCCATTTTCACGGTATGGCTGGGCTGGAACACATGTCAGAACATAGAGGCCTCTCATCTAGAAGGATGTTATCAAAGCAGTTTTCTCTAATTTGCTACTGCTTAGTAGAATCAGAAATCTCTTGTGCCTTTACTATCATTATTTTATTGTTGGTATTGTTAGTTTGTTCCTGGGAATAAAACTAGTCAACCAGTTGCTTCTTCCTCCACGATAGCGCCCTCCAGCCAGGCCCTCTCACAGCTTTTGTGGAGGCTGTGGGTTTGTTGTCTTCTCTGGGGCTACCCACAATCTCTCCCGGTTCTCAGCCATTTAAACCTGTTGTTGCCCAACTTCCTTCCCGCTGCGGAGAAGGGCAGGAAGGCCTGGGCGCCTGGAAGCCAGGAGAAGAGAGCGGGCTGAGGGGCAGCAAAGCGGCTCCCCTGACTGTGCTCAGTGGGGGTTCTCCCCTCCGCCCTGGGCGCTTTCATTATCACTGTCATGTTTCAGATGTGACTCGAGACACAGGGGCTACATAACTTAGTCACGATCCCACAGTAAGTGGCAGAGCCAAGAACTGAGCCAGATGGTTTAATTCCAGAGCCACTTAACCCCTTCCCTATGTGGTTTTCACAAAACTGGTAAGTAGCCATTGGACGGCCACCTGGGAGCTGGGGAGGGTGCAGGTGTCTACAGACATTGCCCTGTGACAGGACAAAAGAAGCCTGTTCCCTGTGCCCTGCTCAGGGAGATGTGGTCATAAGGTTCCAGGTGGCAAGCAGCTCTAGAATTTGCTTATCTAGATCAGAATATTCAAACTGAAGACCCCCAGAGGGTGGTTTTATTAACTGGCTGTCATTCTCATCTGTGGAGCTCTTAACTAAAATCATCTTTGCTTTCCGCCATAGATTCCCTAAATCCCGTACTTGTTTATGTAGAACAGCTTAAAATTATTTTTGCCAACTAGTTTAACTCTATAGAATCAAGAACTGTAACGCACTGACGTATTTTAAAAGTGTTATAGCAAGAAAACAAGGTATTAAAGGTACACATTTCAATCTTTGAAAATTATTCTTGCCAACCTAACGCTGCTATCCAACAAGGCCTGGCGCTGTGTTCCGGCTCATCGAAGTGGAAACCTGCTGTTTCTCCCGCAGAGGCCACTTTGGGTCTTTACTCGGCCTTGCTTTTCTGCTGTCCCTACTCTCTCCTAGGTTAGGACCTCGGTCCCTCAGAACGTTCTCTGTCC